ATCTTAGGTTATTGACATTTCTCCTGGCAATCTTGATTCCAGCTTGTGCTTCTTCCAAGTCACCATTAACTCTTGGCTGTAGGCAATAGCCCTGTCCTGGTCTTCTGATACCTTCCCTTGCCTTCTTTAAGTTATAAGTTTAGAGGACCCTCGTTCTTCAATAGTTTTTCATCTCATCTAGAGAAACTGCCAAAATTCTTACAGTGGCTAATAAGATATGGTGTACTCTATCCAAACACAGCCTATACATGCATATTGGAACAACAGTTTAGGTTTCCATTTATTGACTAGAAAGTGTATCTTCAACATAGTTATTTTTACTTAAAAAATAACAGATTAAGAAAACAGCATGGGATTGCATATAAGATAATAAAGTTGATAAAGTTGTTTCACACAGGGTTAGGGGGGCAAGAGTTATAAAAGCACTATACATGTAAACTAAAACTAAACAATTAAGTGAATCGATGGAGGAAAGTTGGCGTGATTGTTAGAGTAGGAGGGTAAGAGATAAGCAAGAGGATGAGGCAGCTATGAGATGTATCTGGTAACGAATTAGAGTTGGAGATATCAATGTGAGATCATTTAGTTTAGTATACATGAGATAGATAGCTACATATAGAAATATATATATGTGTGTGTGTATATATATATAATGGCTTATTATAAACACATAAATTTGGTTGGGCACAAAGTTCATTCAGGATTTTCTGTAACATTTTACAGCAAAATCTGGATGAACTTTGTGGCTAACCTCATATTTTCTTGTTACTTTAGTAGGGAGGGGCTAGAAGCAGTGACACTCTAGTAGCAAAAAACACACTTATTTCTCAGTCGTGGTTCATAGCACCATTCAATAAGTGGAATCAGGGTTCATTGGAGAAATGGCTAATTCTAGGAGAAATGGCTAACTCTAGGACAACCGCTAGAAATATACAAAATATGCCTGGTGTATCTTATAGTGCCAGTAAGTAGGGAGTGCTAAAATACACACACATGTGCATCCACGCACACGCATGTGCACACACACACACACACACACACACACCCATTGATGGGGGTGTGTCAAAAGGACACAGCCACCAACTGACTGACAGAGCATCTCAATGACCAAAGCTGGGACAATCTGAGGAAGAAAAAATAAAAGAGTATTATAAAAATAAAGTAGACATATAAAATAAATATTCACAATTCCATATCAAAAAACTGACTTGAAAATACAAAAATCCCATACAAAAATCTTGAAAAAATCTGGCTTGAAATTCAATAGTAAAAACTAAATAAATAAATAAACTAATATTTTGGCATCTGGTTCCATCACTTCATGGCAAATAGAAGGGGAAATAATGGAAACAGTGACAGGCTTTGTTTTCTTGGGCTGCAAAACTCTCTTGAGTTGTTGAAAGAGGGTTTTTGTTATGACCAGTGCATTCTCTTGGCAAAAATCTGTTAGCCTTTGCCCTGCTTCATTTTGTACTCCAATACCAACCTTGCCTGTTAATACAAGTATCTCTTTACTTTCTACTTTTGCACTCCAATTATCTATGATGAAAAGGACATCTCTTTTGGTGTTAGTTCTAGAAGGTCTTGTAGGTCTTCATAGAACCAGTCAAATTCAGTTTCATTTGCCTATTTATCCATAGACTTGGATTACTGTGACACTGAATGGCCTGCCTTGGAAATGAACTGAGATCATTTTGTCATTTTTGAGACTTCACCCAAGTACTGCATTTCAGACTCTTTTGTTGACTATGAGGGCTACTCCATTTCTTCTAAGGGATTCTTCCCCAGAGTAGTAGATACAATGGTCATCTGAATTAAATTTGCCCATTCCTGTCCATTTTGGTTCACTGATTCTTAAAATGTTGATGTTCACTCTTGCCATCTCCTGTTTGACCACTTCCAGTGTACCTTGGTTCATGAACCTAACATTCCAGGTTCTTATGCAATATTTTTCTTTACAACATCAGACTTTACTCACATCACCAGACACATCCACAACTGGGCCTGTTTCCACTTTGGCTTAGCCTCTTCATTCTTTCTGGAACTATTTCTGTGCTCTTCCCCAGTAGCATTTTGGGCACATCTGAACCTTTAGGGATGGGGCCCCCAAATCTGTTCTGTAACCATCCCTCTAGAGATTCTCTTGTATGCTAAACTTGAGATCCACTAGATTAAAACTAGTGTAGGGTTGACTATATCACCTAAATGTTTTTGCACTCTTATTACACAGGGGTTTTAAAGGTGAGAATGTGAGAACATACAGTTTCTAAGCTGAGAATGACCATAAAGACAATTTATTCTCTGTAAAATATTCTTTACTGTATGTTTCCTGCCATCCATTATCAAATTGTTCTCTTTTGTGCTATCAACTCTTAGTTGGCCTTCAACTCTGTTGTGTCAACTATATGTGGGCATTATATTTAGAATTAATATTTGTACTTCTTAAATGAATAGGAATTAGACAAATCAAGACTTTTCTTGGAAATACTATTAATAACAACTTTGTGGCTATATTTGGCAAATGTTGATTACCAAAGAAATTATAAGGAAGGAAGAAATTCTTGTACAAAGAGACGTTTCAACTGTCTCTAAAAATAAGAACGTTTCTGAGGTATAAAGAACATTTTATATCTTCTGGGGGAATTCCAGATAGTGAAAATTATGAGTACTGATATATGATCAGTATGAGAAATCTGTTATTAAATTAGATCTATCTGAAAATGGGCTGGGCTGCTTTGTGACTTAATGAGTTTTCCTGTGGTTAAGAATATTTAAGTCAACATCAAATGGTAGGTTGATTGGGTGATCGAGATCCTTGCTACCCAAAGTATAGTTTCATCTGGGAGTTGTTACTGGTGCAGAATCTCAGGGTCCACCCCAGTCCAAGTGAGTCAGAATCTACAATAGAACAAGATCCATGGGTGATTTATGGGGCTTCTGGGGTGGCTCAGTGGTAAAGAATCCGCATACCAATGCAGGAGAAATGGGTTCAATTCCTGGGTTGGAGAAGATCCCCTGGAGAAGGAAATGACAGCCATTATAGTTGCCTGGGAAATCCCATGCACAGAGGAGCATGGCCTGCTACAGTCTGTGGGGTCCCAAAAGAGCTGGACATGACTTGGTGACCTAAACAACAGCAATAAGTACGCTGTGTTTGAGAAACAGTGCTCCAGTTGACATCTAATGACTCCTTACATTACTCTAATACTTAATTCTAATAGGATTATGTTGTGATGCAGAATTTGAGTAACTGTCTAGAAGAGAAGGGGGTAAATATGTGAGCTTGAGCTCACCTTCTACTGTGAGGTCATCAACTCAATTAAATGCTACCCCTAACATAAAATGGTATGTTTCTTGAATACTGTACCTAATGTAAGTGAGCTGTTATTTGAATAGTATTTCTACAGTTAGCTTTGGACTATTTGCCTAACACAAAAGTGAAACATATCTTTTGGATTTATTGCATTACATCATAAGAGTATTTGTACTAACTTCCAAATTATACACAGTGTTGAACCCTTCTCCCAATTCCTTCCTGCATATCCTCTTCCTTATACTAAAACTAGGATATCTCAATTTCCCTTACTGAAACCTTTCCTTCTTGTTTAGAGCAGGTACCAGTTTTGTCTTCGGCTTCCTCTCTGTCCCTGATGGGTCTGTGAGAATGGACAGCAGGGGCAGAAGAAAGGAGAGTATGTTAAGGGGTGTGCAGGTATGAGAGAGCTGGAAAAGATCCAGGGAGCAGACCGCTCAAAGCTTAACTGTACTCTGGCAGGGAGTACTTAACACACAATTCTCATCTCCAAAGCTATGAATGGAAAAGAGCTGGAGAGGTAATGAGAAGTGACAGATGCCGCCACACCCTAGATTGACTCGGGTCTCTACTGCCGCGAGTACCATGCCCTTGGTCTTGAGAGAAGGAAGCCGCTAAAGAAATGACAAGCACGGAAGGCCAGAGAGCCAGAAGATGCCCAAGCCTGTTCTGTCCCTAGCAGCACGGGCCAACACACGTCTTCCTGTGGAGACCATTGTGCGTGAAGCCCGGGCGAGGAGGAAGGCACCCGCCTCGTCACACCTGCCCGGCCCCGGCCCCTGCCTTTGCCGGGGGCACTGGGACCAGCGCGAGCCTCAGCAGCTTTGGGGGAGTCGTGTGTATCCGCGAGCGCGTGTACGTGAGGAGGAGAGCAAAGACGTGATTACTTCAGAATTTATTTAAGGGCCGGTGGAAACCACTGCACCAGCTTCCAGGGGAAGCCCTTGTTTCAGAGGAAGAGGAGGTGGCGCTGCCAAGGAGGAGGAAGGGGGTGGAGGCGGGGGGAGACAGACGGAGGAGGAGGAGCGGCAGCGTCCACAGCACAGGCAAGTAGGAAGATGCTGTAGCATCCGCACTGAGCACAGGCAAGTAGGAAGATGCTGTAGCATCCGCCCTGGCGCCCAGCAGGTTGGTTCTCCCGGCCAACCGGTGCCAGCAAAGAGGCTGGGAGGCGAAGCTGGGCGTGGGGGTTCTGACTGCGTGCCCTTCTGGAGAAGCAGCAGCTCTTTTAAGTGAAATAAGGCACCCTTCGCTGGGAAATAGGCTGGGGGCCAGGACGGGCTCTGCCCTGCTTCTCGCATCCCTGCGGACTCGCTTCCCTCTAGCTTTTCAACTCCTGGAGGTAGCCATAAACTCCAGAGGGGCTCCGGGTCGGGGGCTGGTTGGAGAAATTCCCTTCCAGATTCTCCTCACACCTCTTCCCAAAGCTCACGTTTGGGGGTGACACCCTCCAGGTGGCCCGGTCGCGGAGCAGCGCCGCTCGGTTAAGTTTCTGCAAGTCAAACCCAGTCCCCACTCGCCGACTCCCCGCCCCGGTCTCCAGCTGCCCGCGAGGAGCTGCGGCTGCTCCGGCAAACGGGTCGCTGCTGCTTTAAGAGCCGCCTCCCCCCTCCTCCCTCTGACAATGGTCTGAACCGAGCTCTGCTTCCCAAAGCAAAATTTGTAATATGCCATTTTTCCGATGGACGCTTCTCCTTTTGGCTGCTGACGGAGCCGCGGGAAGATGCCGAGCTGCTGCCGGGCCAGCCAGCCGGGGCACGTTCCGGGAGAACGCCGGGGCACCGAGTGTCTAAGCTGCTTTTCTCCTCCCGTTGCTAGGGAAATGGTCCAGGAGTGCCGGCTGTGAGCCTCCCCTCTCGTCAAGCCTGAGACTGCGGTTGTCATTGCTCAATTGAAGAAGCGGGACCCGAAATTACAGACATTAGGTACAGAGACTGTGTTTGAGTTACACGGTTTCCCACCTGCTTTATTTTTTTCCCCCTTCCCCCTCCCCAGCCCCGGCCCCACCCCGCCCCCAGGGAAGATGAGATGCAAATTCCCTCCTTGTCAATTACTGTGCCTTACCTTTTGCTTTCCACCCCCACCCTCTCCCTTCTCCTATTTCCTCTACCTTGTCTGTCTCCTGTTGGGCAGGATGGACAATTTTGGTGTGGGAATTATGAAGTCAACTTCTTCTGGGTGGTGGGGGGGTGTGGCTGAGACAGAACTGTCCAGCCAGCCTTATGGGAGTGTGCTGGCCCTCCGGCCAGCTGTAAATGCATTAGGGTAAAGAAAGTGCAAAATGCTGGCATTAAAAATAGAATATTTCCCGAGGACTGGGGACTTCAAAGAGTTAAATAGGACGAGGAATATTCATGTAGTGTAATCAGACAATGGCTAGGCTTTCTTTCACCAAATTATTCCTTGTGGATTAACTGAGGTGGAGATAGGTAGGTTCTAAAGACTAAATCTTTGCAGAAGAAACTGACATATACAGAGAATAATTAGATTTTTGTCTCCAGTAGGATCTAAATCCTAATTATCTGTTTGAATAAAGTGAGTCATTGACAGGAAAAAAAAAAGGTTTTTGTAGCACTGTCATATCTGGACACATACTGTTTGAACAGCATATATTGCTAAGAAACACTCTGGATCTTGAAAGCCCTTGGGTAATGACTCCAGTGGGCATTCAAAAGTTTTATTTTGAAATCAGAGATTTAGAAGACAGTCAAGGTTATGTGCTAAGAATAAGGGAGTTGGTTTTCCTGGTATAAAATTCTTCAAGCTAAATTTCAGCACTGAGATAATTAAAACAGCTATTTTTCTTTTTTAACAAAAAAATAAACAATGTCTCTAACTAGCCCTTGAAACCTTCAGTAATTAAATGACCAGGGCATCATCGTCTAGAAGAGTATAACATAATTCATGTTATCAGTTGATTTGGGAAGGGAATGATGAAAAGGCAAATATCAAAGCAAATTGTTAGTATGCTCTCTCTAGTTTTTTAGGAATTATGTCATACAATGAAGTTTTTAATATTGAAAATGATTCTAAAAGTTAAAAGTGGCAATATGAGGATGAAATAGAAGATAACTTGAATGACCATAGCCTTCTGAACTATGCAAGTTACACTGAATACAGATTTTTAATTGCTTTTAACACCTAAAACATGCACTTAATAAGTTATAGTATATTTCAAAGAATCTACAACTTTTTTGTAATTTATACTAGATGTAATATCAGTTTTATTGTAAGAAACTAAGCTAGCTCATGAAAGTTGCCTTGTTTTTTGTAGACAAATGTTTTCCTTCTAATTTTGATGAGAAGACTTTAGGTTTACTCATTCAGGTTGACTGTGAGGGAAAAAAGCATGTACCATGTGTTCATCTTATTTTCTAAGTAACTTTTGCATAGTTGGATTTTTTTTTTTTCTTTTCCAATTGGATTTGAAAAGTTTAGAGCACCCTTTAGGCATAGAAGCAGAATGAATCATAAAGGTAAAATGTTCTTTTTGCAAAGGTGAATGTTGGCCATTTTATAATAAGAATAAATACTTGAATCTGCAATAGTTCTTTATAATTTTACTATGTGTTCTCAGTCAGGTATCCTATTGGATCTATGGGCTTGTTTTTTAAAAATACCTACATTATTATTCCTACTTTACAGAAAAGAAAGCTGAAGTTTGGAGACATGAAGTGAACTGCTCTGGCTCACATGCCTTGGGAATTGAATTGAATCAAGTTCTTTTGAGTGTAAATTTAATGGACTTTCTAAATCCCTTAGCTGCTTCTCATCATAGCATCTTCCAACTAAGTCAAAGACCAACTTTTATACTGATCAAAGAGCCTAAAGTTTGTAAATGTCTAATGTCTCCTGATGACGATGGTCGTCAGAACTAGAGTAGCATATTGGGAAGAAAGCTGTAGCTGGGGTAATTGCTGCAGTTAAGTTTTTCCTCATAATTTAAAGTATACTTAGAGTAGAGGTGGGCTCAGAGCTTTCCCTCAGGAAGAACACATTTAGAACACAACTTTGAAAATGTCTAACCAACCTTGAACTGAAACCCAGTAAATGTTTTGGCACTGATTGTCACTGTGCTACCATTTCCTTGCCCAGTATTTTGTTTTAACCTTAAATGTCAGAAAGAAACACATTGGCTCTTGATAATGATTTCTCAGAATGACACAGCTGTTCAGTGCTGTGGATTTTATGCATGGCATGTGAAAAAACTGCTTTAAATATTCAAATGTATTGGAGCTGTTTATTTGTTTTCCAACTTCTTTTTAATTAAGGTAAAGAAATTTATAACAAAGAGTCTCATTTTTCCCACCTTTGTGAAATTGTTTGAATGAAATTCAGGTGGAGAAAAATAAAAATTATTTCTTTGCAACCATTAAGTGGTTAACAATATTAGCAAATGCATGAGTGTGATTGAGTGTGTACATGTGTGTTTTTAAATATTCATATGTCCTATTTGAATCACTTGTTTTAGTTTAGGGTGAAAAAGAAATTGAACAAGTCAAGTTCTTGCCTTCAGGGAGCCCAGTGTTTTGAATGAGGAGCAGTAATTCAAAGCATTACTTTGAATTTTTCTAAAATTTACCCCTGCCTTAATTCTTCTGTATAGGCTGTCAGTCACAGAATACTTCCTTTTTTTTTTTTGGTTTTGTCAAATGTTTTATTGAGTGTAGACAGAATACTTCTTTTTATCTTTTTAAAAGTTTCTCCTAGTTTTCAGTGGGCCTTGATCAAATAATTCACAGATAATTGAATTTCTCTATTCAATAACTCAATTTATATGAAGAATTACATAAAAAGTAATTAACTATTGAACTGTTAAATCTTGACATTTTATTTGAAAATATCACCATAAATATTTTCCCCAAGGACAGGATTATGTAGGCAGAAAAATAAATTGACCTTGTATTATAAAACCAAAGAATGCTCCAGGATCAACAGCCAAGCCAGCCTTTCTCCACATCAGACTTTTGCAAAACCAAGCCCTCTAATTAATAGCCCCTGACTTCAGTACAACTGAAACTGAGATGGATTTGATGTTTTCTTAAACATAAGAAAGAAAAGAAAAGAGTAAATGAGATAATTTTTTATTTTTAAAATGCTACACAACAGGTCAATGTTATATCTTAATGTCTGTGTTTTCTATTTTAAATAAATTAATTTTAAAATATTCTGAAGAGTTCATTTATTTTATGACTAGCTGCTTCTGATTAGCAGTTAGGATGTAAACTTTCTACATTAACTAATGTAATTTATGGCATCTGTTTTGTGGAATATTTGAAAGAGTGTTAGTCTGTATTGTTTGGACGGAAAGCAGACAAAGTAATTTGCAGGAAACAAAAGAATAAGTATAGTTAGTAGTATAATGACCTAAACAAATTTATTCATTTCAGTCTATATCCTAAAGCATGTGTCTAATTTAGTCAGCATAACTTATCTACTCTGTGTAGAAAACTGTAGGAATTCAGGAAGAGAGCTTGTAACAATAAAATGGGAGTTGTAAAGTCAAGAAGCTTTAAAATAGTTGTATTAAAAAATTTGATAAAATTAAAAAGTAAAAGCAGATTTTTACATAAATGCTCAATTATTTTCAGATCTTCTAAATGAAAGAATGAACATAAATGCATTCATTTATTTAAGTAGCACAAACATAATTTGCTTCCTACCTGTTAAATGTCAGCCACTAGGCTTGCTTTTAACAATGTAATAACAAATAAGGGTAAGATGGAGGTATTAGCTATAACTGATTTGTAAATTTGAATGGGAAGAAAGGTGATCAATTAATAAGTGTTGCAACGTCTTATTATAAATTGAATGAGGTGGGGTAAATCATAAAAAAAAAAAACTTTGAGAAGTAAATGAAATCAAGCTGTGTTTTTGTAGATAGGAGATATGTAGATTGTCATGCAAAGAGAAAGCATGTTGGTTTGAGGAAGTCAGTGAATCATATTTCACTGAGGTCAGACTTTTAGTATGGTAGGATTTGGGGCAGTGGGGAGAGGAGAAAGGCTGATGAGCTGCAAAGAGTTGGGTGAGCTGAGGGTCAAGTGGGTTTATTGGAAATCTTTTTTTACTAAGTTTCTCTCCCCTTTAATTTAAGCAATGATGTGTGAAGTGATGCCCACGATTAATGAGGACACCCCAATGAGCCAAAGGGGTTCCCAAAGCAGTGGCTCGGACTCAGACTCCCATTTTGAGCAGCTGATGGTGAACATGCTGGATGAAAGGGATCGTCTTCTGGACACCCTTCGGGAAACCCAAGAAAGCCTCTCACTTGCCCAGCAAAGACTGCAGGATGTCATCTATGACAGAGATTCACTCCAGAGACAGCTCAATTCAGCCCTGCCACAGGTATGCCTCCTGGGAGCTTCTGTCCTTCCTACTGCAGCTGAAAATGTGACAAGATATAAGCTTTGCTTTATTTCCATTCTGATAATTACTTTTGCCCTTAGTAGATATGATATGCAAATTTTGGTGAAAAAAAACTAAGAATAAATAACTAGTTCACATGCAACTTTGCCTCAAACAAAATAGTGGCACTTTGGCGGTGGGAGATTTGAAGCATGAGTCCCAATCGTGTTTCTCTTGGAAATTTTATCTGTTTTTTGGTGGAGGTGGAAGATCACCTGTTGATCAGCTTCTAATTACCAGGGTGTGAAAATAGATAGTTTTCTCTTTCTTGCTTTTTAAACACTATTATGATATTTGGGCTTCCCTAGTAGCTCAGCTGGTTAAAAAAAAAAAAAATCCACCTGCAACGCAGGAGACCCCGGTTTGATTCCTAGGTTGGGAAGATCCCCGGAGAAGGGATAGGCTGCCCACTCCAGGATTCTTGGACTTCCCCGGTGGCTCCGATCATGGGAGACCTGGGCTTGATCCCTCCTTGGGAAGATTCCCCTGGGGAAGGGCAAACCCCCTCTCGTATTCTTGCATGGAGAATCCCCATGGACAAAGGAGCCTGGAGGCTACAGCCCATGGGGTGACAAAGAGTTGGACACAGCTGAGCGACTTAGCACACATGACATTTGGAAAGATGTATTTTACATTTTCAGTTTTGTGGTCTGTCTTTGGAAATGATAGTGCTTGGAAGTCTGTTGTCCAATCGTTTTTATTTGTCTTTCTTTAGAAAAGGTTAATACTGCTTAAAAGTATTGAATTTATTGATGTATTACCCTCCCTTCAAAAAAGACATTTCAACCAGTTTCTTTAAAAAAGAAAAGTATTTTGGAGATAGGAGAATAGGCAAAAGTTCAGCTTTATTCTCACAAACTTAAAATTGTTAGATTTTAATAATTTTTTTTTTTTTTTGGGCTGGGGACACAGGGAGATTTTAACAATTTTAAGTAAATATTTATAAAATAATTATTTTATGTGATATGTAATAACATGTTATATGCATTATGTATTGTAATAATAATATATTACTATATTATTATTAATATATATTAATAGTAATAATATATTACTATTATATATAGTAATATTATAAAAATAACATTTTTAATATATTATTGTCATATAGTTATTTTACAGAAAAAAGTGATATTTTAAGGATTTTCAGTTAATTTATATACAAATTTAATAATGAGTCAGTTCTCTTATTTAAGAATAGCATATTTTAGGTATGAGAAGCATCATAGAATGAATTAAGTTTTTAATAATCACCCCTCAATAAATGATATTTTTCTTTTAAAAACAAGTTTGATTGGCCCTTTACTTAAAAGACAGTACAGCAAATGCTGAAGAGTTGATCTTTCTCCATAAATTAATGTCTTGTAGGTAATATCTTTTTATAACTGAAAATTACATTATCAATGTTGATAAAATTCTAAACCAGCCATACTACAAATGTGTAGTATGATGTTGAGATATTTATGACTTTCAGAATTAAAAGGATCTCCTAGATTGCTCTGTTATGTTCCCATTAGGTAATTCCATGATCCCCATCCCAGTTCATTTTCAGTCTGTTTTGTGTTGAGATGCAATAATATTTCCAATAACTCTAACCTGTTGACATACACTGATTTGTTTACACAGAATGTATTGTATTGGTTCATTTCAAAGGACAACTGTCATACTTCACCAAGAATTATATTTTTCAAACTAGACATTTCAGTATTTACAACTGTTCTTCATACAGTCATTTCTAGAATGATTATCATCATGCTTGCTCACCTCCAGAATTATCTGAGTTGGTTAATGCTGTTGTTAAAATACGGTCTTATAACCAATCACACTATTCCTTACCTTCTGTGATGAGCACAGAATAGGGCAATCATTTCTTTTTCTGGATAGAGTGTTTCATGAAGAATCCTAGAATTGTATTATTTTATTATTTGGGGGGCCAGTTCAACATACTTTTATTATGCATTAGAATGGCAAAAAACTGAAGTTTGTAATTGAGTTGCAAAAATACCATGTGTTTTTCCCACACTCTTCTTAGAAGTTGACTCTGGTCCCAAGTGTAGGACTATACAGGTACCCCTCCTAAGGTTATCTTTATATATTTTATTTAAGCTTGATGCTATTAGTTTCTGATGCTAACCCTATTAAGATGATTCTAAGAATAATTTGGGTCTTACATTTTTTTTCTCTATCATGGTGACATGATAGAGACATGGGTGAATCTTTTATAAAGATGTTGTAAAATATTAATGCTAGAATATCTGGGAGGGAAAGGAGAAAACTGAAAATTTTTCATATATATTTATATATATATATATATATTTTTATATATATATTTATATATATATATATATATTTATATATATATATATATATATATATATATATATATGTAAAGAGTTACCTTTTTTTGGACAATCGTATTGTACCCCAAACCAAGGCATAACAAAAGTATTATAAAATGTTCATGACTCAAGAAAAGTCTCTACTAGATTAACAAATAATTATACTGAAATCACGTTCACAATTAAGTAAACATTATACCCAACTTTGAACACCCTTCAGTTCGTGAAATGCTGAAACCAAATAGAGCCCATTAACTCCACACTATCTAAAAACAAAAACATACATTGAAACT